ATAATAAATTTTGAACTAACTGTTTTTTTCGTATAAATGGAAGATTCTCTAAAATAGAGTTAGACAATTTGCTAATTAGAACGTCGATATAATTTATTTAGAATAAAAAAATTATTTATTAAACTGTAACAAATATGATTGATGAGTAAATAATATTTTTTTTTCCCCAAATAAGGTAAAATACCCAGTTATTGACACTGGCCTAGTTGTTTGACACTTGCAATTTTATTCTCATCAAAAAAATTAAATGTTCTCAAAAAACCAATTTTCTTAAAATTTATAATTTAAAAATTATATTTATTAATTTATTTGTTTTTTTTTTTTTTTTTTTTAATTTAAATAAAATTGCAAGTGTCAATAACTGGGTCTTTCACCTTAAATGACTAAAAATTGTTTTACTAAATCAGTTTATTACTCCGTACTTAATCCTTCTATCAGTGTATTATGGAAAAAATAATCTTTGAAATTTTCATAGAATTAGTTTCAAAAATTAAATAAAAACTATTTAATGGGAAAAATTTTTTAAAATCAATGTTATTTTAAACCCGATAAAAATTTCGTTAAAAACTATAAACTATTCTACAATTGAAACCAAAACATCGAAATTAAGAGCCGAACATCAAATACTACAATCAAAATTTAAGTATCAATAGTCCGTGCAGATAAACCAGGATTAATGTATTGTAATCCAAAGTTTACAACTCGAGGACTTACACAGCCAATATAACCGCGAATTCTATAACTTCCGACTAGTCTCGAGCAGAATGATCCCGGATTGAGAAAACACTCTCGTTCCTTAGTATTGTTAGTATTCTCGATTTGATAGCATTAGCCAGCTATAATTCCGGTTCACCGAGCAGAGTTGTAAATAGCTCTCCCGAAATCGTACTGGATAATTAATTATCTATCGTTGCATAAACTCGAGAGATAAAATTTTTAGTCAGAAAAAAAAAGTAAGTATCAACAAGGTGAATATTGAAAGCTGTTTAAAATTAATAGTCTATGCCGGTGTTCTGGTGAGAGATAGTGAGTGGTCATTTGTCGGGTATTCATCAGCGGGAGATAATTTTACGCTCGGATAATCATTTATTGGTTATGTTATGCACGGGTATAAATGTACTATATGTACACTTGAAATCGGAATATCGCCGTAAGCCCACCGGGTTAGATAAACAGAATATTTAATGATTGTTATGTATACCAGTAATTATTACCATTACATTGAGTCATTGGAAAAACAAAAGCCTCCACTTTCAAATGTTGTCACTTCACTTCCGATGACCCTTCCTTTAATTATCTCCGTCTATATGTATATATTCCATCACTCGTACTGTCAGTTCTTGCCCGTTCGACTGAATGTTATTATTGTCTGTACGTTTAAACGCATCGAGCAATGGCGTCCGAGCGTGTATCAACACCCACCACCATAGACATACATCCACTATCCACTACATATTTTATACAGTTCGGGTGTATATCTATAGTGTGGTAGACACAGGACAACACATAGGACATACTATTACTGTCGGAGAACGGGCACAGAGTACACCACCAGCAAAGACCCGTTTTCGCGTAATATACACTGAATGAGAAATTAATCGGGCGTGTTGATCCTCCATTAACAGACGCGGACAAAGGAAAATTCCATTGTCCCACTACTCTGATGTGCCTATCGCGTCATTTCACGTGTAAACATGCGACAGTAAAATACACAAATTACAATCGCTGGTAAGAGAAAACCTGTGCTTTAAGCTGGAAACTGTAAGGTTAATGTAATTCTATAACTTCGGCTCCCTCGGGCCTAAGTCACGTGATTATGTGCCGACATTTTGGGGATATAGACTCCATTTCGAGGTTATTAATATGTTATATAGACTCAAAGGACCGAAAATGAAACAGTTTTTTTATCATTTTTTTCTAGAGAGTGTTTTTTTAATTTTTCTTTTATTAATCAGTGATTAATTAAAGAAATAATCGGAATAACAAGTTTTAATAAAATGGCGGATTTATAGATAAATTTTCTATGGAAAATTTGAGCAGTTTGTAAAGATATAAAATATTTAACGGGATTATTAAATATGAACGTAAAAAAAAATTTTCGGTCGTAATTAGAAGCAAATTCGTAAAATTTACATTTTTATAAATGTAATTTGAAGTTTAAAAACTGTCAATCTGAAAATAGAAATTTTATAATACAAAAAATGTAAATTAAGCATTAGAAAATCTAAAAATTTTTCATTAAAAAAATATATTATAAGAACAATGAAAATTTTTTTAACTTGAAAAAGGTTGTGGTTTAACGCAGTGATGGTACGTTTTACCATTTCCATTAAAAAATTTTATTACATTTCTTTTTTCTAATAATATATAATATTATTTTTTTTTTTTTGTAATTTTAGAAGTTGTTGACGGTTTGCGCAGTCTGCCAATATGGTCGCAGCTTTGCAGTCAACCAAAATTATTCACCTTTTAAATTTCGAGTGTTTGTTTTTAACGCAGTTATATTAACTATGTTTTTCGTCCCGAGAAACGCGACGTATAAGCGACGAGTCGTCGAATGTGAAATAGAGACAGATTAACATGAATTTTTCCATGAATTTCACCGAAGTTTATTTTATCATTAATATTTTTTTCCTATTTATTCTTTGTTTGGTTGTTTATCAACATTTATTTTTATTATAAAAATAGTAAATCATTATATTGATTAATTTTCTTTTAAATTAATTTGACTTTTATTTGAAGAATGAAATAAATTTGAGAAAAAAAAAATTAAAGAAAAAGGAGAATAGTAATCATATAAATAAAAAAAAAAATAAAAATGATACATAAATTTTAAAATTCGCCCAGTGAATCGGGCGGGAACGGCTAGTACATTATAAGAGTAATGACAATTTTTTAAAATCTTAAGCATGCGTATAAGCTGTTAATACATTATCAATACAACTACAATTGTAAATTTTAATGTCCCAAAAAAATTAGCATTAAAAATGACAACCCACGTATCAGCAAATGGAATTTAAATTCAATCATGATCGTGAAAGGCGTGCATTGTTGGATTCCCAGGATTTCAATATAAGATATTAAATATCTCCTACAATTTAAGGAAAAAAATTTAATATATTTTAGCGATATATTTATTGTATTTTATTCGGGGAAATCGCGTGGCGAGGAAGTTTCGAAATTAACTGATAGCATCATTCAGATCTATCACCAGCTCTTATATCCTTCAGGAGATATATTTTCGCGTGAATTCGATCCAACACTTCATACCCGCTCAGCACGCGACAACTCGAGGAGACGAGACACTCCTCTGGGCAATTTTATTTTATTATTTACTCAGTTACTTTAATATAAATTTTTCACGGTTCAATCGATTCGTCAGTCGCCATTTATCATCATCATCACCATCAACATCATCGTTCACGGTTCGCTTCTTCTTTCAGGGTCTGAATTGTCATTCAGAGTAAGCTGGTAAAAAATCCAAACACAAAGACACAGTGATAACTCAAGAAAGTACAAACTGTCTTTTAGAAACGGCAAAAGATTTCTCTGAATGGTCACTGTTGTCTCCATTACATCCATGAAATATCAAGCAATTCCGGACAGTAGTGCAATGGCGCTCGGTAATGATCCCAGCAAAAGCCACACGATCTAATTCTGGTTTTACTTTACTTTACTTTCGGAAAAACAAAAAAATCTTACATATAATAATTTTTTTTTCTTCAACTGTGACCACCCACCGCCCGGCCATACACGTACAGAGTTTCATCTTTAACGTCTTAAAATACTCAAGCAAGAACAAGATTGAGTAGTTGCTCTTCTTTGTCTCTTTTTTCCGACATTATTTTTTTTCCTTTTTTTTTCTATATAGGTACACGCTGTAAATTTGTGTTTTTTCTACCTAAGCAGACAGAATTTTCCGTCTCGGAAGGTTATTTTATTGGCAGTAACTTTCTTAGTGGCCTAACCTACACTAGCGCATCTCGTGTTCTGTCGCGATAAAATTCTCACTTATACGACAGCGAAAGACTACCAACTACCGACTACTTGGAGAACGAGAATAGGACCAGGAATAAGATTATAGTCTGTTTCGTAGGTAGAGGAACTACGGCAAAGTCGATTCCAATAGCACGTGATTTAATGGGAGCTTTCAACCCTGACCTTAGCCAGAGTTTCAGTTAGGTACCGTTTAAATTGCCACTTACTACACCTACAGACTATTCAAATTGTGACCCAAATTCTGCAGTACCAGCAAATAATTTGTCTACTTCAGCGTCTGTTATTTATAAAATTCTTAATATATAGATGAATATAAATACTGTACTTAAATTGCAACGGAAACGATTATGAATAAATCTAAAATGGGGGAACCATTTAGAGAAAACTCTATGGCTCATTGGATTCATGAAAAAAATGTCTATGGATTTTTTCTTCAGCCCGGCTGTTTTGGAAATGAGCCATGAATTTGGAGGCATAATAGTCCATATTTGTCTTGATATGCTCCTACATGTCAATTTATAAATTTTCGACCGAAATAGTTTTGAAAATTTCCGACAGGTGGCGCATAGTAAATAAATCTTCTCGCTAAAGGAGAGTTCATTTTGAGACTATATAAATTCTAAAATAAAAATGATTTTTTTATGTTTTTAAGAAGCTTATCTAATTGAATTTTATTTTAACAAATTAATAAGTTAATTTTTATTTAATTTGACGCTAATTAAACTAAACATTCCTTTAAAATATATAAAAAAAATTTTTTTACGTAAAAATTGATTCAAACATGTCGCAAAAACAAACAATAAGAGTTTAATTGACCAAATAGTAAATACTAAAAATTTTTGTTATTTCCGATCTTTGTTAGCTAACTCTGATGACAATGTTAAGTGATATAAATGACAATGTATAACAATTATACCCGGCAGTATCCAGGAATGGAGCATACACGGTAGTTTGAGAATTACCTTCTCTTGGGAAACATTTAACACACTTTGTTATCACGCATTACACGTTACATATTAGTCTTTACGTGCTAACAGGTATGGCAGAGAAGTTACTTACCGAGAGCTTGTGCTTCACCCTGGGAGTCCGGCTTTTACGACTGGGCAATAGAACGACGACATCTTGATCCTTGGCTCGTCTGGGAGTCTCCAAGTGTTGGTGCGAATTACTGCTGGTTGATGGATACGATTTACCGGAGCCCGATGCACCCATTGGCGAACTCCCGGTTGATGGACCGCGTGAGCTTGATGGGTACTTTGAGTAAGCCACATTGGTCACGGTGTTACTGCCTCCGTAACTGACGTTGTGAGTATTGTTAACCTATTTCAGAGCCATAACTCGTTAGTGTCATTGTTCTCTTATTTTATTTTTTTATTATTGTTATTATTTTTAAGTGTATTATACGAATCCCGGAGTTTGCAAGTATATGTAGATGTGGATGTAAATGTTGAGGAGTTTAATTTGATAAAAGCAGATTCGTTTGGTTACAAATCGGCTAATCTCAAGTGTTGGAAGCTTTTACTTTAATTAAACTAGAGTCGAGAGTTGGCATTGTTGGTACCTGCACAAGTATGTGACAAGCTTGGGAGGCTATTTGGAAGAGGCCATCTTGTAAATTGCGTCCCGAGTGCTCTGCGTTTTCTCGTCCGCTCTTAGCCCAACTGAAGAAAGACATTATGGGCCGGTACCGTGAAATACTTTATATTCGTCTTTACTTTCGTTATTTAATACTAGCTTTTATTATTTTTATTCCCTGGCTTTTTCTTGTTCTCAGCGAAAAAACCAATTGTTTACATTTTTTTTCACTGTCATTTTTTTAATCTCACTTGCTCTTCGGTTATCATTTTTTTGTTGCTCAATTGCTGCTCCATTTTTCTCTAAAACAGAAATTTTTTTAAATAAATTTAGTATTTTTAATAATATTTATTTAATCATCCATAAAAAAATTTTTTATGCCCTGATATCTTAATTTATAATTATTTTATATGTCCTGAGATGCCAATATAGTTGTAAAAGCCCATAAATAATTTTTTATGAAAATTAGTTTTGGAAATTTCCGACAGGTGGCGCATGGTCGTTAAATCTTCTCCCTTGCAGAGAGTTAAGTTCTAACATTATATATAAATCATTACTTTTTACCCTTCTAAGAATCTTATTCGATATTTTTTGTAATATTAAACTACTTTTTACATAATATGTAAAATTTTAACATTATAAATTATAAAAAATAATTAATATTAGTTATTAAAATTAAGTTTTAAAGTATTTTAAATAAATTAATTGAAGACTTATCGATAATTTGCCTCAACCAAAAATGAATTGAAAGCATCCAATACAAAGTTTAATTATAAATAATTTTTTAATTAAATTACTGAAACTTTCTATTTTATCGGCTTGACCTACAACCAAAAATTTTTAATTATTCAAACAGCCGTCTGGCGCTGCTGGTGTTTGATTAACAAAGATTAACTTTATAAAGTTACTAAATTTTTAACGACAATTGAATTGAAAAGTTGTTAATAATTAGCTATTAACAAAAATTCATTAAATTAATTGAAATTTTGAGAGCTTTTATTTGAATATAAAGCGAATAGACACTCTCTTATTAATTTTTTAAGAGAAACATTAAAGTCTTGTTCGATTAATATTTAAAATATTGAATTAAGCAAATGTAAAACATTTCGAATTAAAACTCCCGTTTATTGTATTTGAAAATTGTGAACTAAATAAATAAAATATTGAGTAGGAATAAAAATTATAGAATATTAAATTTATCATATCAGAGCATCTTCCCCTAATGTAATACACAATTTTAGGATGGTAAGTTAATATCCCAAGTAGTAATTTGGTCAAAGTATTGTTAGGGCATTATAATGATAAAGGGGCGGTGAGTTAAAATGATTATATACTTTAACATTTGTTGTTGTATTAGTATTAATAATATTCTTAGAATGTATTGGAAACAATATAAAAGCTCGAGTACTGGCTCGTTGTGTTACTCGTACACACATTTGTGTATTTATCATCGTAAATGTTGATGGCCATGAGACACGCACTTATTCAAACAGTGTGTGTGTGTGTCTGTGTGTGTGTGTGTGTGAGAAGGCAGACTGGATAGCTTATCTATCGACAAACCTAACAGTAGTTCTAGCTCATGAATTTTTCAAACGCCCGCTAATATTGAATCTCATTTTCATCCCTCTCTACATTATATATTATACATTACATACATCATATGATGTCGCTCTAGTACACATATGCGTGATTGCCGTATTTTATTATTTTACGCGACACACAGGCATTAATACCAACGACAGATAAACACCAGTTTATTTTTATCCGACTTTTGCTCGACTCGACTAAAGTAATTAAATATTGACATCACGCATTTGAGGCTGTTTTTTTATTTCACCAGATCCTCACTCCGATTTCATCGATTTCGGTAAATATTTTATCAAATGACGACTTTTTATAGATATCAACCACCCGGTTATCATTTTCTGCTGCTGTTTTAGTGTAATTGTCGCGGCAAACAAAGTGCAGTTAATACTGCATGGGAAAAATTTTAGGTGGAAATTATAGAATAATGGTTATGAACAAATTATACAGATATTTTCTGTCATTTTTATAATAATAATAATAATAATAATAATAATAATAATAATAATAATAATATTTATTTATTAGCAATTTGCTATTCAGTTTTTACATTAGAAGAAAATTTTTAAAACAGCTTACAGATTATAACGAATATAGCATGCTCAATCGAGTAAATGTTTTTTTGTTAATACGGATTTTTAACACACTGAAAAAAAAGTTTTTTTATACCCGGAATACTGAATATTTTTTAGTCGAGTTTTCTTGTAGTTAGTAAAAGTCAAGTTAAATATTTTAGATTTAACAAAACTGGTATTTTAAATCTGAGAATACCAAGTTTTTTAACAGGACTAAAACTAAATTCTATGTTACCATAGCAACCGTGACGGTGGCGCCACTATTTTTTTATTTCCCTCCAATCTACAGTGTACGCGTGTTTTTTAGTTATTAGTTTACCTCGTGCCTGAGTTTACTTACCTAAATATTTATTTGTGTAAATTAAATAATTTATAAATTATAAATAAAAGTATTAATTATTAATATTACTTCCCCTTACTCCCTTACTTATATGGATTCTAGGATGCAAAAGAAGTTGTCAGAATGAAATTTATCATCTCCAACAAATTTATAACTCATTGTAGCAATACATTCTTTCCTTATAATCAATTTTTATATTTTTATAATGAGGTAAAAGACCCAGTTATTTTCACTGGCCTAGTCGTTTGACACTTGCAATTTTATTCTAATTAAAAAAATAAAATGTTCTCAAAAAACAAATTATCTTAAAATTTATAATTCAAATATAATGTTTATTAAATTATCAGAGTTTTTAATTAAAATAAAATTGCAAGTGTCAAAAACTAGGTCTTTTACCTTAGTAATGTTATTAATTATAAAAAGTATAGTTTCTCATAATTATCCATCCTAAAGATTCGTGTCGACCAAGCAAGGTTAACTCGGCTATATTGATTGTAGTTATTTTAATAATGAGAATACCAAGTTTTTTTATATCCAGTAAACTTATTCCTATATATGGATAGTAAACTTTGGTATTCTTATTTTAGGAATACTTTTTTTTTAACCACAGGGAAAAGTTTTCTAGGAGGAAAAAAACTTTTTTTTCAGTGCATAGTCCTATAGTAGTCGTTTAAAGCTGTTTAATCTATTTTCTAATCTTATATCGTCTGGTAATTTATTATAATAGTTAAAGCCTTTGTAAGTTATACATTTTTCTGCTGAGTGTGTACGAGTAGATATTACATCGATAGAAGAACAATTTCTCGTTTTATATCTGTGCTTATTTTTAGTTTTTACAATAGAAAAGTGTTAAATTTCCAGGTATAGATTTGTAAAAATAACATGCACTGAAAAAATTTATATCTTTTTCCTCATATTAATTTTACATTTCCGGTGTAAGTTAAACATTTTTTCACCTATTATATTTACATTTTCCGTTTAAAATTACATTTTTTTCATGTAAATTGAACATTTCTGTCACCCGCTAAATTTACATTTATTCCATACAAAAAATTTATACCTTTTTCCTCATACTAAATTTACATTTTCTTTGTAAATTTGCATTTTTTTCCATGTAGATTTAACATTTTTCACCTACTAAGTTTACATTTTTTCCAAAAAAAAATTTCTATCTTTTTTCTCATACTACATTGTAAATTTAACATTTTTTAGACTACTAAATTTTTATCTTTTTCACGAAAAATTAACATTTTTTCACGGGCTAAATTAAAATTTTTCTTTCTACTAAGTTTACATTTTTTCCATGAAAATATAAGATTTTTTTTTCTACATGCTAAAATTCTATTTTTTGCAATATGAAATAAAAATTTTTTCCAATGTAAAATTTACAGCTTGTAATAACAAAAATTGACAGTAATAAAACTGTAAATTTAACAAATTTTCATCATTTTGAACGAACTGTTTTTGCGTGTAATAATTAAAATTATTGTACTTATCAATACACGAAAAAAAAAAAAAAAATAACAGCAATAAATAAATTTCCAGTGATTTGTTGCATCCAATTAAATTATTATTGCAATTAGTTTGATTAAAAATATTACCGAGCATTATTAATTCGGAGGGTGAAGATGTCTAGACAAAAAAGTTATTTATCGATTCTATGATTTGTTGACTTTCGATATTTTCATTTTCAATTTTAATAGTTCGGAGTAGCGCAAGTAGATTTCTTCAGAGTTCCTTAAATTAAAAGAATGTTGCGATGTTGCGTTATAATATCGAGTCAGAGTGGTATTCAAAAGGCATGTGCAGAATTGTAATTACAATTGTAATGGAATTCAGCGAATAGAGTTTAAGTCCAGAGGGCGGAGAGTTTGAGTACAAAGGTACGAGTTTCGAGTTATAAAGGGATATTCGAAAAGAGATAAATGTATGTATGTAACTGGCAGCCTAGCAATCAATCATATTCAATCATGTTCGCATGCATGTTTATTTCTAATTGAAAATTTGAAAATTGATTGACTATCTGCGTTATTAAGTTTCTAGCATAACTTTGTCGATTATGATGAAATAGAAATAAAAAGAGCATGTGTGCTTCAAAATGGCAAAAAAACCGATTATTGTTTTTTTTTTGTGCTAATAATTTTATTTTTAAAAGCAGCGCAAAAATTTTTATCTATGCTGTTAAATCAAAACAAAAAAGTGTTAAATATTTAACACAAAATTTTTTGACGCAAAATTTTTTACTATGTGTTAATTTTATTTGTTATTAACTCGACTGATATGTTTACTTTATTTGTTTTTTGCATATTTTGTATTATTAATTTTGTATTTAATTATTATATATCAGTGTTAGTGTACAAATTATTTATGTGTAATTTTTATTTTAATGCGATTTTATTGCAAACATATTACCCGCACGTAGCGCGCGGTTCATGCTAGTTAATTAAAAAATTAAGATTTTTTGAGCTACCCTAATACAATTTAAGGTAGTACTACCGTTACCACAAGTGTCAAATGAGTGCTTTGTGTAATTTGGTTTCAGTAGTATTTTCATCTGACAACGTCGCGTAAAAACTAAAGAGATAGAGATATTTTCTGTTT